GGATTCAAGGTCTGTGAGGGAGCCATAACGGAATTGGCTGCTACCTAAAGGCGAGTTGTTTTGCAGTTATCTTGTTGTGGCTAAGGCTTTATTTATGCTATGTGCATCTGGATGTGTGGGCATCTGAGACACCGATTCGTGTAGCAGGCTGCATCCCTCACAGCCTGCCTTTGGCTAGGATGCAGAGCTTCCAAGCGAGACCTTGCCTACGAGCTTGGGGTACTCAAGGCCTTCTACAGTCACAGGGCTCATCTGCTCCCCACGTCACATCCACTCCCAACAACATACTATTGTGTCCTTAGAGGTAAACAGGTAAGAAGAAAGGCAGATGTAACTTTCAGTCTATGAGATTGGGGAGCTTTTGTAGGGGAGGTGGAAAGTAACTGGTTCTTGATGGACGGATAGAATTTAGAAATTCAAAATGTAGGAAGAAAGGAAACACATTCAAGAATATAGTAGAGATAATACCACTGTCACATCTAAAGGCATTAACATTTGTTGTTTGATACGTTGCATTTAAAAGCTTAAAAGTAATCCCCATTTTTGATATGTTAACATTTACAAGACAATTGAAAACTTGTACATAAAGCAGTCAAATTCAGAGACAGAAAATAGAATGGTGGTTGCCAGGATCTAGCAGGAGGAGAGAATGGGATTTATCATTTGATGAGCACAGAGTTTTAGTTTTGGGGTCTAAAACTGAAAAAAGCTCTGAAGTTGGATAGTGTGATGATTGCACAACAATGTGAATACATTTAATGTTACTGAACTGTATATTTAAAAATAGTAAGATAGTACATTTTATGTGTATTTTATCACCACAAAAATATTTTTCCTACTATATTGAATGTTTTCTGAGTGCTCGGGAACCATATTTTTTTCTGTGAAGCTCTTATACCCTTCATCTTTTGTTTTAACTGTGTTATTGAGGTACAATTTATATGCCACAAGCTTCATAATTATAAATGTACAATTCAATAATTTTTAGTAAATTTATAGTTGCCAACAATCACCACAAATCAGTTGCAGAACATTTTCATCACCCTAGAAAGTTCTCACATGCTCTTTGGCAGTCAGTGCCTGCTTCTGCTCCCAGCCTCAAGCAAAAACAGAAATGTTTTCTCTTTGAATTTGCCTTTCCTGGTTATTTCATACACCTTAAATCATATTATATGTAGTCTTTGGCATCTGGATTCTTTCAGTTACCATAATTTTTGTTTTGTTTTGTTTTGTTTTTTTGAGTTGGAGTCTCACTCTGTTGCCCAGACTGGAGTGCAGACCTGCTGGGCTCCAGAGATCCTTCCACCTCAGCCTTCCGAGTAGCCGGAATTACAGGCATGTGCTACCACGCCCGGCTGATTTTTTGATTTATTGTAGAGATGAGATCTCGCTGCCTAGGCTGGTCTCGAACCCTTGGGCTCAGGCAATTCACTCACCTCAGCCTCCCAAAGGTGCGGGATTACAGGTTGAGCCACCGAGCACAGCTTTACCATAATTTTTAAAAATAATTTTCTTTATTTTAAAGATGTGGGGTACAATTCTGGATTAGGTATACAAATGTTCATTACGCAGGTACCCTTGTTGATGAAGTGTGCCTGCCCCTCCCCTCCAGTTTCCCTCAACTGCCAATCTCATCTCCCCTCCCCTGGTAGTTTCCCACTACTGCCAATCCCTTTCTTATAGTATTATAATTGTTCAACCATAATGTTTTTGAATAGTTTTCCATAAATAGATTTTTTTTTAGTTTGCTGTGTACCTTTAGACAACTTCCAAGGCACTAAAATGATTGTTTTTGACAATTTGGGCCAGTTTTATGATTTCTCTTTGAGGGAGAAGATTTGGTGACTAACTCCACTATGCTAGACATCCAAGCTCTTCCTTCATTTTATTTTATTTATTTTTTAATTCTAGGAGACAAAAGAGTCTAGGTGGAACCTGGCATTGAAGGTTGGTTCCACTTTGGTTACTGTGCTTTGATTATAGCAATTGTTAGAAGACTTACTTTCTTAAACCATCTTTTCCAGTGCTTGACATAGGCCACTCAGAAATCTAGAAAACTCCAAGTTTCTGTTCAAAATCTTTTGAATGCAACAAGCACTTCAGATATCATACATCTTTAACCTGGAATCTGCAGGAAGAGATCTCTTCTGAATTCATAGTAGCTTTTATTCTTTTGAATGATTATTGAAAATACATGTCTTAGCATTTAGGAGGTCCAGCATAAATGTGGGTGTCATAAAGAGATCCTTATAGTCAGTAAGGTAGGGAACTTCCAGTTTAAACCAAGGCATTACTCATTATTATTTCCATCCTTAGCTCTGCTTCTAACATGGAAAGTATCTACCCAGCTAGGGTATTTTCCATAGAGGACAATAATCTTTTCTGCTTATACTCCATGACACTTCACCCACTGGAGAAAGAATTAGATTTTCAGGGATGGAGCAATGGAGATTCCAGTCAGTCTGAGCAAGGCTATTTAAAACTACCACCTAGAAATACCTCCAGACTGGGAAGATATGCCATTTTTCTCTTTGCTATCCAACCCTGGATCACAGATCATATATCCCAGGGAAGGCAGTGCTCAACTCAGTACATGGCACACAATACAAGGGAGGACCAAAAGCAAAAAACAAATAAACAAACAAAAAAACGGAATTATTTTTTTGGTGGGTGGACTTTTTGTAGTACAGGCATTCCCCCACTAGGAAAGTGTTCTAGGAACCCGTCAGCATCAGTGTACTGGCTAGCATTGTTGTGAGAGGCTGTGTTTGCCATTGATGAATTTTATGGGAGATTCTTCCAGTGCGTTTGCCCATATCACGTTGGACGATTTACCTGTGCACCTGCCCACACCAAACTGAGTGTTCAGCAGTTTTTGACCCCAAATGGCATGATTCCTATGCCCCACCCTCCCTATTCACCAAACTCACCCCAGCGACTTTTCTTTGTCTGTTTGTTTGATTGATTGTTTGTTTCCCCAAATGAAAAAAGTCCTCAAAGGGAAACATTTTGCCAATGTGGAAATGGTGAAACAAAAAACAACAGAGGCACTAAAAGGCATCAAAATTGATGAACTCAAAACTGTTTTGAGCAGCTGAAAAAGCATCTCAATAGGTGTATTGCACCAAACAGAGAGTACTTTGAAGGTGACTGAAGTTTAAACATGTAAGAATAAATATGCAATTTTTTATAAATAATTTCCAGGGGTTTTTTGGGTCCTCCTTTATAGATACTCAATAAATCCCGGTTAGGTTGAAAGGCACACAGGTATGGTGGTGGTGGTAATGGTGATGTTAAGTGGGTGGTAATGGAGGACTTCTTTCTCCTTTCTAAAGCTGAAAAAGCTGTAGGCCCTATTCTGTGTGCTGAGCAGAAAGAAGAACCTGTTTTCCTTAATTATGCTCAGCTGATTGGTGAGAAATAATCCAGTCCCCCACCCTCCACCCCTATCTTCCAGAGATGAAAATTTTGACAACAGAATTTTTCCTCACCTTTGCTGGGGAAAACCTTGAGAAAGAATGAAAGACAATGGACACCTTTGGGCTGCCCTAAAAACTGCATCTTGTTAGGACAATTACTCTCCTTAGTCAAAGGTTCAGAGAGCAAGAATCTTCACTCAACAGCTTAATAAAGATCAGTGTAAAAACTCACTGAGGAATTCATTAACATGGTACCAAGTCAGCACCGTTCCATGAATATCTTTTTAAGTACTGTATTTACTAATCTGATACAGTGAAAGCCCTAGAAATGAGTACCAGCACTCATTCAGCTGAAGTTATGAGATGCTCAACTCATAGATTTTGTTTTAATAAATACTACCACATATCTAAAATCAGAAGTTCTTTGGCAAATGTTTGTAAAATGAAATAAGACTTAACAAATTATATTCTAACTTTATTAATAGCAGTTCCTAGGCTGGAAGCTGACTTTTGGTTATATTATTATGTGTTAAATATTAACAATAATAACTTGTTATAATTTCACAGATTTTAATTTATCTCGAGTATAAAATGGTCAATATCTGATACCCCCTGAGAATGTTGTTTACACATTTATTGTATTGTTGGTGTTTGAACTGTCAATAAAAATAAAAGGATACAATATAGTGAAGACATTTTGGCCTATAATGAAATGCATTATTTTTCACACACCTGTCATAGTCAAAGATGAAAATAATGATTTTGACCTCATAATCCTAGCCATCTTTATTTTTCATTCTTCAGAGTCTGTTCTCTGTGTCCTTTTCCTGTTTTTTCTTTCTTCCTCAACTTTACCAAGACTGATTCAAATAGTAAATCCATCTCACCTTTTGGAGTTCTTGGACAATGCAGTTTCCCTTCAGCTTGTCTACCCTTTGCCAAATCTGAACTGATTAGCCTGTGTCTTTTTCCTGGTCTCACATAGCAGGTGATTTTGATAGCGTTTCAGTCCCTTCCAGTTTTGCAAGACAGTAAACATATTGCTCTAGTAGGCCTCAAAAACATTGTTAGAGAAGATAGGGAGCAGGAAAAAAAAAAAGGATTTTTTCGTAAACAGTAAAAACCTATTCTGAGGACCGGCTGGATGTTTCCACCCACTCATAATTGGAGTCAATTTTACAAAATAAGTAGAAAGAAAGGGCATATACTTTGCAAAATATTACGATTAAAGTTCAATATTTATATTTGTTGCAGAAACTTTTATATTTGTTGCAGAAACTTTTATGTGTCCTGAGGCGAGTCCTTTGGGAGTTATTAATACTTTCAGAGGCACAGCAGAAAGTCCGGCTGTAGTTCAGAGAATAACTACAAATCCCAGAATGCCCTTTCCCCCATTTTTTCCCCGCGAGAATCTCAAAGAATGAACTCAACCAATCACTTAGTGACGAGTCTGGCTATCAGCCAATCAGAATGCGAGCGGGCGCTGGGAGGCGGATGGCGGGAGGTGCCGTAGGTTTGAAATCGGAAAGTTGGCGGGGCTGCGGGAGCTGGGTCAGGAGACCGGCTGTTGACTGGAGGCGGCGGGGTTCACTGTCTGCGAAAGTGAGGTAAGCAGACGCTGAGCTGGGCTCCTCCACCTGCCTCCCGCAGTAGGGGAAAGTGGGCTTGATGGCGGAATGTGTTCATTGGGGCGACGTTTGTGAAATGCGCGTCTTGGTGTTTGAGCCCCGGGGCCTGGCGGGGTGGGCAGCTGCGAAGCCTGCAGTCTTCTAGGGCAGCCTTTTATAGAGGAGGATACTGAGGCCTAAAGGTCGAGGACTTGTACATGTCTGGGACTGGGCCCACTAGACTCCCACTCCCGTCTCCATTTCCTGTTACTTTTCCTGTTCTGGGGTGGGCGGAGGGGGCAGGGTAGATGTGTGGTGTCTTATTCTGTTGGAGGGGGACTGGCGATCGAGATGGGAAGCAGAAAGAATCAGAGTTGAAAGGGGTCTTACAAATCGCCAGTTTTACTTGTGAGAAAACCGAGCGAGAGTCATTTTCCCAGGGACAGAGAGCGTGTGAGTGCCCAGTGCGATTACACTAGCCTACTAACAAGCCTCTAGGAGCTCAAGGTGTCCTGGGTTCTTGCTGCATCTAAACCACAGTTTAGGCCAGGCAGCTTGGTCTACCTTTAACTACCTAGAATTAAAGATAATTTGCTAACCATTTTCTAACAAAGGGCAAATTGGCAAAATACCGTATACCTAATTGGAATATGTGGCTGATTTGGTTTAATTAATTCTTTAAAAATACATTGTCTGTTCTATTTGTAGCATTGTCTTGCATAATGGTAGAGGATGAACTGACACTATTTGATAAAAGCATAAATGAATTTTGGAATAAGTTCAAAAGTACCGATACCGCCAATCAAATGATGGGCCTAAGAGATACCTACAAGGATTCTGTCAAAGCATTTGCAGGTACCTAAAATTAACATGTAACATGCAGTTTTTGCTGCACTTGTTTATTTTTTAGTGTTATTTCAGCTGAGTTGAAAGTTCAATTCCAATTTCTGTTTCAGAAAAGCTGTCTGTGAAATTAAAGGAAGAAGAACGAATGGTCGAGATGTTTCTGGAATATCAAAATCGTATGTGAAAACTAAATCACAAGGTTTTTTTCAGACTAACCTTTTTTTTTTTTTTTTTTTTTTTTTGAGCTGGAGTCTCACTCTGTCGCCCAGACTGGAGTGCAGTGGCCGCTCCCGGCCACCTCAACCTCGACCTGCTGGGCTCCGGCGATCCTTCCGCCTCAGCCTTCCAAGTAGCCGGAATTACAGGCATGCACCACGCCCGGCTGATTTTTTGATTTATTGTAGAGATGAGGTCTCGCTGCCCAGGCGGGTCTCGAACCCGAGGGCTCAGGCAATCCACTGACCTCAGCCTCCCAAAGGCGCGGGATTACAGGCTGAGCCACCAAGCCCAACTAACCATTTTTATCATGAAACCCCTCATACAAGTAAGACAATGTATTTTGTGTGCATATATGTATTCACACATATACATACACTTATATAAAAAAAATTTACATACTCACCATTCAGCTTGAGAAAGAACATCCCATGTTACTCCTTCCTCTTCTCCCACCTTCTACAACCAATCTATCAATATGTTGTTTAGTATTGTGCTTTTGAATGCTATATGAATGGCATTCTTTTGTATGTATCCTGTCCCTTTTTTGACTCAGCATTATACTTGTGAAATTTGTGTATGCTATGTGTAAATGCCAGTATTTTACGAGTTTGTTTTCCCATTGGAAATCACAGCCTGAGGATTGAAAAACTGGAGTTCTCTCAGCTCTTTGGGGTAGAGTTAGTACTCTGATAGTCTTTCAATCTCTGTATTTTTACTACTGTTCTTGCCTTCTCATTTCCCCTACTCTTCAGATTGTCCAGAGTGGGTCAGTAGCTTTGACTGAATCCTCACACACAGGCCACAAACTTGTGGCCATAGGTGAAATTCCACCAGAGATAATTGGGTTTATAGGCACCATGTTACAAACAATATTCAATTGTCCTTACACAAGGCATGTGTAATTTTATTTGGCACAGTCCCCATTTGGCAGAGTCCCCTTCTTGCCTTGCCTTATCCAATTTTCTCATTGTGTGGCTCATGGAGGCATTTGACTTTGTAACCCCTGGTGGGTTATTATGCTAGACTTTTACCCATGTTTACTTTCCAAGTTGCCCTGAAGCTTACATGCCTGTTCACTGCTTCTCATCCTCTCTGTAACCGTAGGCAAAAAGGGAAACCTCTTTCTGTGCTTATGTGTAAAAGTTATATTGAGTTTGGATTCTTTAAAACCTCTTTGTAGAAATCTCTAGACATTAGAAAATTAAGTTTGAAAGTGTTTTTACTGCTATGAGTTTCATAGTGTGCTCTTAAAGATTATCTACAGTGTGAAGATATGCTCTTGTTCAATATCTAAAAGCATTATCCATATTTTTCTTTTAAAACTCAGTTTACAGTTGAACAGAAACATAATTTGCCTATGTTTAATTAATTCATTGAACATTTGACTGCTATTGCCTAGGATTAGGGAGAAAACAGTGCATAAAGTATCATTTGCTCACAATTTCATGGAGGATATAGACAGGAAAACCATAGTTAACAAATGTTGTAATAGTTGCCATAATAATGGAATAGGTGCTGTGTGAGCACCTCTGTGACTCTGGAGGTTTGGTTCTTTCAGTGGGGACTGCAGGATAGTTCGTAGCTAACCCTTACCCTGTGTACTCTTTGCCAGGCCCAATGCTCAGCTCCTTGCATATATTGACTTGTTGAATTCTCAAAATAACTCTAAGAGGTATAGATCCTGTTTTTAATCTTACATTATGGATGAGGAAATAGACTCAGAGAGGTTAAGTAACTTCTTCAAGGTCAGATAATTTGTAATAAACAGAAACATGATTTGAATATGCAGTCTGAGTATACCACACTACAATGGAGGAAGTCACATAAAGGAGGGTTAGGGACATTCAACAGATTCAGTGCTACATTCTAGAAAGAGGAAACAGCATATGGAATGAATTAGAAACACAAGAGCTTGTTAAATTCTGAGATGGCTCGAGTACACTGTGGATGGGGAGTGGTGGAGAAGTGACTGAAAGGAAAACTGGTTGACCAGGTGATGGAGGATACCACATGTACAGAGGAGTTTAGGCTTTGTTTTTCAGGAGATGCGGAGTTGCTACAGGATTTCAACTTAAAAAATTATATTAGATTTGCATTTCAGAAAAAGCACTCTGGCAGCCATACACAATAACCAGGAGGAGTGAGATCGTAGACCATAAAGAGACCAGTTAAAGGAAAAACTAGTGTAGTAGTACACACGAAGAATGTGGCCTGCTTGGACCAGCGACAAGTCTGAGGAGGTAGGCTCATGACTGTTAGCCTAAAGGTGAGGGTATGATGTGGTCTAGGATTCCTTCTCTCTGACGTGGGGTATAGATCAGTGGTGATGCATTTACTAAGTAAGGGATTAGAAAAAGAGGAGAATGTTTTTATGGGTGGGAAGGAAACAGATGGGTTCAGTTTTAAATGTGTTTAGTGAACATGTTGAGTTTATTGTGCAGGGAGTCTTGAAGGTAGAGATGTCTGGTAGGCAATGGATATATCAATCTGGAGGCCAGCCAGGGAAGTGGTCATTACTGAAGATAGAGATTTGGGAGTCTTTGGTGTATTTGGGGGAATAAAGCTATGGAAGAATGTGTAGAGTAAAAGAAGATAGCCTAGGATGGTAATAATATTTATTGAATCATTACTATGTGCCTGGAATTTTTCTATATAGATCTTTCATAGATCTTATAATAGACCTATATAGATCTCCTTCAGTCCTTATAACAGTTCTCCAAAGTAGGTAATATTATTATTATTTCCATTTACTGATGATATTATAGGCTCAGAGATTGTGATTGACTGTGATTGATCATTGAGAGGCCTCACTCACATTTAAAACATTATATTTCCTTCATAATTTGAGAAAGCGGTAAATGCAAAGGACAGGGAAGACAGAAATAGTAACTGGGGAGCAGAAGAAGTAAGAGAGAAAGCCACAGAAACTAAAAGAGGACAGATTCAAGAAAGGGTGTTGTCAATACCAGGAAGTCACAGATAGGTCCAATAAGGTAAAGACAGATGGAGATAGCATTTTGGGAGTAGGAAAGTTGAGGAAATTCATTCAATCACCAGATATTTGTTGAGCTACTACTCTGTGCCAGGTATACTTCTAGAAAAATACTGCAAAGAACAAAGTAGCCACAAATTCTGGAGCATTTGTCCATCTAGTTATCACAAGAAGAAAAGTCATCTGTTAAAAGTGAGAGGCATCTACTATATGGGCAAACTCTTAAATCCTGAAATCTGTCTAAGAGATTATCCCTGTTTTACAGATGAGGAAATTGAAGCTCACTGTGGTTAAGAAACTTGCCTAAGGACTGGGTAGCGACAAGCTGTAGGATTGCAGCCAAAATGTCTGTGCTCTTTCCATTGTACCACACTGACCTACATTGAGAGAAAGTGTAAGGGAGGGTTCCTATGGTGAGCAGGAAGAAAATTTGAAATATTGGTCCTGAGGAATGAGAGACAGCTGACTGTATACACATACAGTGGTAGTCATATGACATCAAAGGCCCTTACATTTGTATTACCACAATTCCATACAGTTCTTCAAATGTTATAAAAACATTCACGTCTATGGTAGATATGTGTCACTCACTACTTTAAAAGTTTTTACATTACTATTGGTGACTCTGACCCTAATGAATGGGATAGCCATTATTGACCTTACTTTACAAATGAGGAGAAGAGTTTTGGAAGTTAGGATTTGACCAAGGCCCTTGGGTAACAACTGATGTGCTGGATTGGAACTGAGACCTTTTGACTTAAATCTGGATTTCTTTTGCAGTCCAAGCCTACTCAATACCTTTCTTTAATACTTTTCTTTCTTTCTTTCTTTCTTTCTTTTTCTTTCTTTCTTTCTTTCTTTCTTTCTTTCTTTCTTTCTTTCTTTCTTTCTTTCCTTCCTTCCTTCCTTCCTTCCTTCCTTCCTTCCTTCCTTCCTTCCTTCTTTCTTTCTTTCTGATAATTCTGATTTTTTTAAAAAAATTATACTTGTTGCCAAATTCTTGGAAAATATAGAAAATCAAAAAATATAATCTGTAATGTTGAGAACCAATTTAACAAATGATGTTCTAGCTTTTTTCATGTGCTATATAGATTTTTAACATGCTTATGTTTAGTATCTATATTACCATTTTTTTTCTCCTTTAGTGTATTTTTCCACATTATTAAGTTTTTTGAAAATATATTCCGTCTTATTGATATACCATATTTTAAAAATTACTAACTTATTAACCATTCAGGATGTTTTCTGTTTTTTTATCATTATAAACACTAAAGAAATAAATCTTTGCACATATCATTTCCCTGGGATAACTTTTCAGAAATGAAATTACTTGATCAAAGGATGTGAATATTCTTAAGGCTTTTTTATTTTACTATGTCAAAAATATTTTCCAGAAGACCCTAGTATTTAGCATTTCTCTCAAATACTAGCTTTTTAAAAAAACATTGTTTTAATACATGAAAATTGGAATCTTACTGCTTTATTTGCATTTCTGTGATGACTCTGAGGTTAAATTCTCTTTCATATTTATTTATTAACCATCTACATTGTGTAAAATGGTAACCCATTGTTGGAAGAGGATAGTTTCATGACAAAAGCATTGCCTTTGAAGCTAGAATCTGAGTTTGGGTGCAGGTCTTATTATTTATTACATTCTAGCAGATTCAGCTTTCGGCAAGTTACTGAACTCCTGAGTCTTTTTCCTCTTTTTTTTTTGAGTTGGAGTCTCACTCTGTCGCATAGGCTAGAGTACAGTGGCACCCTCACGGCCACCCCAGCATCTACCTGCTGGGCGCTGGCAATCCTTCCGCCTCAGCCTTCCAAGTAGCTGGAACTACAGGTGTGCGTTACCATGCCCAGCTAATTTTTTATTTATTGTAGGGATGAGGGCTCATCAAGTTGCCCAGGCTGATCTTGAACCCGGGGTCTCAGGCAATCCACTCGCCTCGGCCCCAAAGTGCCGTG